TACCAGAGCCAGGGACTGGGGTTATGAGTTGGGTTTTCCTCAAACAGGCTCATCTGGATCTGGAAGTCAGTTACTCTCTACTGTTTGGGAACATGACCCCTTCCGACCCTCAGAGAACTATCCGGCGACGCTGTCTGCAGTGGTCCTAAGCTTAGGGGAATTTAGAAGCTAAGAAATGCAAGTAGGAGCAGGGAGGATGTATGTTTATCTAAAAAGGTTAAGTGCTAGAACTAGAAGGAATTCACCTTATAGAGAACATCCTTTTTAAAACTCTGATTGCACCTCTACTTATCCTGACCCTGGTGACCTTTCTTGAGGTCTAAACATATGATGCGGTCTAATTATTAAAAGTGATAAGGAACAAAGATATCATTCTGAGAACTAAAGTATGCCTGCCCCAAGTCACGCCTCCGATGCATGTGAAAGTTGGACAATGAAGAAGGAAAACCGCAGAACAGAGGCATTTGAATTTTGATGTTAGAGAAGAATACTGAAAGTACCACGGACTTCCAGAAGAACAAATCTATCTAGAAAGAATTACAGCCCAAATGCTCCTTCAGGCAAGGACAGCAAACCGTTGTCTCGAATACTTTGGACATGTTATTAGAAATGCCAGTCCCTGGAAAAGGATATCCTGCTTGGTCAAAAGGAGAGAAGCAAAACAGAGGAAGACCCTTGACAAGATTGGCTGATGAAGTGGTTTCAACGATAGGCTCACACAACAATCGTGAGGCTGGTGCGGCAGTTGCAGGCGGGGTTTCGTTCTGTTGCACACAGGGTCCCTATGAATCGGAACTGACTCGACACCACTTCAAACAACGACCATTTGATGAAAGGCTCGAAAGCACGACTTATCCCGATTCAAAACTTTAAAGGACCAAAGACAGTTGACCCAAATTCCAAAATCCGTGCTACTTCACAAAGACCAATTCTTAACATAAAGTTATTTTAAAAAGTTAACACCAAGAGAAAACATCGTGCTTTGTGGCTGGTTGTCATAAAACCCCAGATGAGATGATGACATTTTTCCTAGTAAGGAAACAGGGTTCAGAGTTTCTGGCTCTCCCTAAAACTGCATGGTTTCACACGAATTATGTGAGTCAGTTCCTGTGAGGCATAGGGAGTCGATAACTAACATCTACAATTGCATGAGCGATTGCTTCACTTCCCTGTCATTAACACATTTCTTGACTACATGACACTTAACAGGAAAGGGAAGATGGCCTAGTTTATTAAGACAGCAGTGCCTCCAAAGCCTGACTGATGTCCTTCAACTACTTGAAGAACAGCTTCAAACTGGAACCTATCACCTACGATGATCCGATACACAAGACCTGCAATTAGGTTAACCATTGGTACTTAATAGGACTATTGTCAAAATATTTTACTTAATCTATTAAGTATTCTGAAAATCAATCCTGAGAGGGAAATACTGATGTATCCCCTCCTCCAATAACATATGGCCCAAAAAAGTCCACTCCAAAAGAAGGCTCTGAAGCTGCACCTGCTATTGTGTACTATTAACAAGCCTAACCTACCACTTCTTTCTACATCTGGAGAGAAAAAGAAAAGGAAAAATGCTTCCTTTGCTCCTTTACCAGACTCCTTTTGCTTCTTGACAGAACCACGTGCTTTCTTGCCTTGGGTCATATGCCCATGCTGTTACCTCTTTCTAGAAGGTTCTCCTTTCTCCTGGCCAACCTCTGCTTATTCTTTCATTACCAGTAAAACCATGGAGGTCTCAGAAAATCTTTTTTGCCTCCCCCTTTCCCCAACCACACCCACTAGATCAGGCTTGCCTGCTGGACCTTCCTGGAGAGCCCTGGGTGCTTTGTGGGTAGCACTCATCACTCAGTTTTGCTTGTGGACACATACTGAAGCCCTGTGACAGAGGAGAACTGCCCAGAGGGTTTTCTGGGCTGGAAACTTTCAGAAACAAGCTGCCAGGTCTTTCTCTCTCAGAACCACTAGGTGAGTATGATCCTCTGCCCCAACCCTTTTAGTTAGCAGCTGAGCACTTAACCACTGCACCACCAGGACTCCTTCAGCTGCTGAGCAGGAGAAAGATGAGGCAGGCTCTCTGCGCTCATATTTATTGTCTTGGAAACCCAAAGGGACAGTTTCACTCTGTCCTATACTATGGATAATATATTATACTATACTAACTAGCATTACTATGAGTCAAAATTGACTTGTAGACAGTAGTTTTAAGCCTAGGCTCTTGGGGAAATCATGATGATGATTATTTGAGGAACCTTGGTGGTGCAG